CTCTTGCTCGCCCCCCCTCTCTGACCCGTGGCCACACCGCCCGCGGAAGCGCTGCGAATAGCCTTGAAGCACCGGAGCAGCGATCGTTTCGGCGTCTGGTCTATTTTCTGCGCGAGCCGCGAGCGAATGTGTCAAGTCGGGTGACAGAGACAACAGCTGGGAGCAGAACCGCTTGTCGACCAGGCTGGAGAAATGCGCGTCTGGTGCCAACGCCCACTCGCAAAGAGGACAGCTGCGGTGGTGGTTTTTTTTTTTTCTCTCCACAATTGAATATCAATTTTCACATTCGAAGGTCCTTTTTTTTTTCAAATTCGAATTTAAATACGAATTTAGAATATTCGTTGACAGCCCTAATGTAAATAAGCTTAGCATTGTTACTATATTTGCATATGTCATTGCAGACATTAACACAATTATGCCCCAGTAGATAATTAATCCTTTTATTAAGATTTCTGACATTTTTTGCATATTTTTGTACTTAGATTTAAGCGGGGACGTTACCCAGGAAGGACAATTTGGTACTTTTGAGCTCAATAGCTCCTTAAATTTTCATTTCTTATAGTGAATACTCATATGAGTAAGTAAAGAGGGGAGAGTTGAGTAACATAATGTAGTGTTTTTAAATATTTATATATTTTTAACATTATAAATATGCTTTGGACACCAGAATTGACATGCCAGGTCTTTGACCCAACCATAATCACGACCAACCCTGCCAGACACAGGGGTTGGGTGCAGGAAGACCGCTCAGTTGGCCAGCCTGCTGCCAGGCCACTGACAACAAAATACAACATCACCTTGACTGGGTAAGGCCCCAGTTCAGGGGCATTGAATTACATGGCCTACTGTGTGGTGGCACTCAGCACACTCTCCCCAAAGGAGGTGTCATGGCCACATTCAGGCAGTAAAAGCTAGCAAATGTGGATGGACTTGACCATGTAGCAGCTGCACAGACTAGAGGGTGACACGGGAGTGGATTTTCAGTCTTTTCCCATCCCACTCCCACAAAAATAATCCCATCCCATCCCAATCCCATGAAAAAGAAAAAAAAATCCTGTCCCGTCCCAATCCCACAAGAATCACTCCCGTCTCATCCCGCTCCCATGTTGTGTTTCAGTTACAGTAAAAACAAAACAAAACAAAACAAAAAAATACAGTACATGGATCACACAATGCCTACCTTAGTTGAATATAAACCCAAATATGACATCTACTGATGTGTTTTGATGTTTATTGCCTAATTATTTTTACATTCACTCCACCTTGAAGCTGTTCAGAATGATAAACATTTGATTTCTGATGTGGTCAGACAACACATCATAAGAACCAGTTCTGAGAGAGAAAAACTAGTAAAGTATTGCAGTAAAAGTAATGTTTGGTTCCTCTGACTGATAATATTACATATGACATCATTAGACTATTAATACTGAAGCATCAGTGTTATAGCAGCATGTTACTGTTGTAGCTGCTGGAGGTGGAGCTAGTCTCAAAAACTTGACTATTGTTATTATGATTAGGCCTGTCACGATAACAAATTTTGCTGGGCGATTAATTACGTCAGAAATCATTGTGATAAGCGATAGTATTGCCTAATATTGTGCTTTTAAGACCATTTTTATTATTGTTGTCATTTTGCTGTTTTTGGACCATTTTTTAAGTAAGGGATAATGTATAATGAGCCGGTGAATAACTACGGCTATGTTAGCCCGATAAAAAAGTACCTGTTGTCAGGGCAGCATCCCTAGCAACGCTGGGCTACATAGCAATGGTCATTACACAGTAATATCAGACCTCTGAATGCCGTGACTGACCAATCAGAATACAGCATTTAATAGAGCCGTGTAATAAACGCATACAATGATAATAAAGGCATAATGATGCAAGTACACCCTTTTAAAGAGAAATAAACATTTATTTAACAATTTAGGAACGCAAAAAAGAACATTTAAATATCCGAAATAACACGTAAAAATATCGAAATAAATAAAAAAATAAAAAATAAATAAAGTTCCCTGTCTTTCTCTTACACTCAACTCTCTGTTTTCTTCTCCGCCCCGTCTCCCCATCACGAAGATCGCACTGTGTGTGTGTAGCCCGTGTAGCCCGATGCACGGCAGTGAACTCTCTTGTCGTCCAGTCTCTTTGGTGGAGAGAGACGAGGAAAACAAACATGCATGAATATGGCAATTAATCCCTTTTAATGTACCGTGCAATTAACCGACTTATCTCATATCGCGACAGGCCTAATTATAATTCACAGTCCTGCCCGCTCCCGTTGACTTTTTTTCCCATCCCGTCCCAATCACGTGACGAATAGTGAAACTGATTCCCATCCCGTGGGAATCCCATGGGACTCACGTGACCCGTGGGACTCCCGAAAAAATGTCAGCCTCTAGCACAGACCTCCGAGAGAGTTGCACCCCGCGACAAGGCCCACGAGGCAGCTACATCTCGTGGTGAGTGTGCCTGCGCACCTGCCGGTACTGGCATGGCAGCTCCTCTGTAAGCCTGCTGAATTGTCGACCCAATGAGATAGCCTAGCCTTCGACACGGCTGGCCCTGGCACTGGGCCTTAAAGCATACAAAGAGTTGGTCTGCCTTTCTAAATGCTGCAGTGTGCTGGTTTGAGTCTTTTTGACCCTCACTACCCTCCTTGGAGGGGTTGTAGGGTCGCAACTCCACCGACTGATTCAAATGAAAGTCTGTGAGTACTTTTGGAAGGAATGCAGGGTTTGGGTGCAACATGAGCCCAACATGAGTCATCCAGCAGGAAATGACAACAGCTCTTATCCACTGACAGAGCATGCAGTTCCCCCACTCTTTTGGGTGATGTCACTGCTAAGAGAAAAAACACTTTGGGTACGTCCCAGGTCTCTTATTTTATACTGCTCCTAACTCCTTACTTGAACCGGAAGTCGTTCGAGGTCCACCATCTTTAAGGCCGTCTCATGTCTCTTATTCCTGCCAGTAAGGAGTTAGCATTAGGAGTTAGGAGGGATCTGTTAGGTGCGATGAGTAAGGTAACACGAGAGGTTCCTAACATGAAGTCTTTTTCAGCTTGAGGCCCTGACGTATAAATACCCACCCCCTACGTCTGGCTCATTTGAACGAGATGGCGGAGAAACAGTGCAAGTGTACCCATTACATGCATTCTTTGCAATGAAACGCTGTAATTCACATGCCTACGAGAGAGACAGAGACAAAGAGTAACATTAATGATATTTCGTGCAAGACTGTCATGTTGCAATTAAGTTTATTTCATTCACAACCCGTTGTGTTGTTCAGCAGACTGTCGGTGATGTGTGGCTGTTAAATGTGCAGCTGCTCATGTCCAGAACCAGACGTGTTGATATAACACCAAGCGCACACACACACACAAACACACACACATTTGCCCATCCTGCATGTCATGTGAGTGGAATAATGTTTAATAGCCTGTAGGTAATATTAATTATTAATATTAATATTAATTAATATTATTACTTTTATTAATGTTGTTGTAAGCTACTGTCATTACCATCTGTCCTGCATCTCTCTCTGTCTCTCTGTCTCTCTCTCTGTCTCTCTCTCTGTCTCATTGTGTCATACGGATTACTGTTAATTTATCATGTTGATCTGTTCTGTACGACATCTATTGCACGTCTGTCCGTCCTGGAAGAGGGATCCCTCCTCAGTTGCTCTTCCTGAGGTTTCTTCCGTTTTTTCCCCGTTAAAGGGTTTTTTTGGGGAGTTTTTCCTTATCCGCTGTGAGTGTCCTAAAGACAGAGGGATGTCGTATGCTGTAAAGCCCTGTGAGGCAAATTGTGATTTGTGATATTGGGCTTTATAAATAAAATTGAATTGATTGAGGTAGACTGACAGGTCTGATATGTCTTATTCACTCAGCAGCTGACTTGTTGAATGATGGCGAGTGGATTTAATAGTGAAAATAATGATGATAATAATAATAATGATAATGATGCTCATCACAGTGACAGTGGCAGGGCTACAGGTTCTTTAATTGCGACAGACTTTGGCAAATGACTCAATAACAATGGTAATACATGCAAAAGTGTGTGACCAAAGTCATGACGGCGGGGGGTGGGGGTTATGGCTTTGATCCGTAAATATAATGTGACTTGGGATGTAACGTTACGCCAAATGCTGGCTCCGTTATGCAGCAGATCCAGCTGTGCCGCCATCATCAGAAAAGGACGTTGCTTTACATGGTGCTTCAGAGTAAGGCCGTCTCATGTCTTTTAATCAGCAATCCTCGCTCCTCAATCCTAACTCCTGACTCCTTGCATGTTTTCCTAAGTGGGAGGGACTAAACAGTTAGGTAAGGTGGCTAGGTTAGGTGGTTAGCAGTAATTTTAAGGGACTTGGGACGTGCCCTTTAAGAGACAGCCACTAAATGCTGACTGACTCCAGAGGCTCAGAAGGTTCCTGCTGCAGGGCAGCCAAAACCTGACCCAGGTCCCACAGTGGAATGGCCGGCCTGCTGGTGCATAGTGCAAGCCTCTGCGCACCTTTCAGGAACTGAGAGATGAGGCTGCAGTCACCATCTGCAAGCCTATAATCCCCTATATGAGCAGTCTTGATAGCTGCCACACAAGAACAGCGGGCAATGGTCATTGTCCCAGGTTGTGAACAGGTCTAGGAACCATGTCTATGCCCAGGTCTACAGCCTGTGTGCTATTCTGCAGAGGATTGGCAAACCCAGGCCCTCTTACCTGTTGACATATGCTGCTGCCACTGTGCTGTCGGTTCTTACTAGCATGTGAAGACCTTGCAGACTCGGGAGAAAATGCTGGAGGGCTAGGTGAAAGGCTCTCAGCTCTAGAGCATTGATATACTGGCGCTCCAAACCCCACTGGTGCCCCTGCCCTTGTGGAGTGCGCCCCACCCCTCCAGGGACACATCTTGTTACGTCCCCGTTTGAGCCCAGGGGATGAGGGGAGTAACATATAAAATGTTTACCAGGTGTTTTTGGAAGAAGGAGAAAGGAGAGCAGGTCAACATTAACTGGACAATGATTTATTTACAAAAACAGAATATAATGCAAACTGTAAAGCGAGCTGCTCCAAATGAGTAGCCGGATCACCTATAACACACAAGCAAAATAAATGTAAGTTTGGGCCAACAAAACAGCAAAACTACAAAACAACACCCTCCCTTCCACACCAAGGGAGTACTCACCGGTTGTTTAACACGAAAATGCTTCTAGGCTACCTGACAACGCATGCCACACACAGCTCTGCTGCCACGGTCCACTTAACAACGGTTGCAGCCAGTCCTTCCGCATTTTATGGCTCCCCCATTACAAGTGGCTTCAGGTGTGCTGATCCACTAGTAATGAGGGAGAGGCGGGACCTGGAGAAAAAACAAAGGGAAGTGGACACAAAGAAAAACAACACACAGGCCAGCAGCCGTAACACATCTGTAGAGAGCAACTGGCGACACAGTACTGGACCAAGCATACTGCCCCTCGAGATGTTGGCTGGGTCCTGCCACCAACCAACAGGTCAAAGCGGCATGATGACGAGCACTGTTGCCTGCAGCTGTTTCTGTGGACAAAGCCCCAGGCTGAAGAGATGCCTCTGGACTGGACGCATGTGTAGAAGAGCCAATGGCACATAGGACCCAAGAGGCGGAGACACAGCTACCATGACCCTGATGTACCTGAATACCTGACCGGAGTGGGAATGAAGGGGTCAGGAGAATGACTGGGCTGGATGACAGGAGGAGCTGGAGCCAAAGGAGGAGTCAGAGGAGCTGAAGGAGCTGGAATGTCGACTGGAGTTGTTGTGGAGTGTGGCAAGATGGGTGGAACCCTGATCCATATGGCTGCCAAGCTGCGAAAAACTGGTGTTGAGGTTGTGGAGAGTGTCCATGATCTCTTGTAGTGCGTTCTCATGCTGCCCCACAAGAGCTCCTTGAGAAGAAATCACCTGCTTAATCTTCTTAGTCTCTGCAGGGTCCATTATAGCCAGATAATTCTGTTTTTGGTTGGTTTTGGTTTCTGGCTGGACCCTAAAGCAGAGACAGACGCAGGTTTATGGAAACAAAAAGAGTTTATTGACAAAAGAAATCACTGCAGAAACAACACTGGAAAAGAGTACGCTTGGCATTACAGACACAGACGGAATTATCTGGCAGAGTAGTGGAGTGACGACCAGGTATTTGAAAGTAGGTTAATGAGCTGAGTGGAAACAGGTGTGCCTCATCAGCTGCAGTGGGAAGAGCCAGTGGTGCCCCCTGCCACACACAAGCCTGGCAGGAACAAACAGAAAGGGAAGGTGGAAGGGAGAACACATAAAAATCCACCCAAAGACCAAAACCAAAATAGACTCATCACAAAAATGCCTCACCAAAAATCAGGGACTCCTTAAAGAAAAGTCAGGATACAGAGAGAATTAAAGCTGCAAGCGGCGATTAACGGGCCCTCGCACCTCTGCACAACTCTGGGATGCTAGCACAATGGTGGCTGATGCTGCAGTTAATTTCTGTCAAAGTCAGACAGCACATGCAGGAGTGAGATGGCATATCCTTCATTCAGTCCTGGAATGATTATTTCACATTTTGTACCACTTCCTCTTCTCACTAGAGGGAGTTGGAGAAAGCACTAATGATATGTCATGTTTCTATATATGAAATATAGATCACACCATGTAAATGTCAGGTAAATAAAAAATAAGTGTTTGAAAAGACGTACTCCCTGACGCCACTAGGTGGCGCTGTACTCTTCACTGAATATTGAGATATAGATCTGTCCAGGGTGGGACTGTCATCAATCTTGTGAAGTTTGGATAAGATTGGACCATGTATGCTGGAGTTACAATCCACTTTCTCGTTATGGTGACACATGGGCCTCTAGTTTCGCAGACCGGGCGAGGCGGAGGTGTAGCGCACTTGCGCTTTGCCAACTGGGTGTGTCCAGGCGGATTTTGCAAGTTTGGCACACCATGCGCGCTGGCGCAGCTGCTCCTCTTTCCCACCTCCGTCCGTCCTACCTGCACAAGTCGGAAAGAGGGAGGAGAGAAGGCATGGAGTAGGTTTTACACAGCCAATTCACATCACACCAATCAAATGAGCCCCTCTCCTCGCCCTTAAATGTGCCGCGCAAAGGCGTAATAAGACTTTACTCAATTCGCCATGGCAGAAGAGAGCAGCAGCGTCAGACAGCCAAACTTCTCCCAGGAGGAAACTGATGTTTTGGTCCAGGAGGTCCACGCTCGCGGTGTCCGAATATACGGAACTGCGAGCAGACCTCCACGGGCTGATGATGCAAAGGTAGCCTGGGAGGAGGTCACCACAATTGTAAATCAATGTTACGTTTCTCTCGTGTGCGTGTGCGCTCTCTCTTTCTCTCTCGCACTCTCACTCTGTTTCTTTTCTTTTGACTTTTCTAAGATGACGGATGCTGAATATATACTCCCTATCTGATGCTGTGGCTGTTTATTGGTGTCTGAGAGGGATGTGAACTCATTAGTTTGCAGCTGTGTTAATCAAATCAGGACAGTCGATATAGAGATACATTTATGTGCTGATTGCAGATAGTTGCATTGAATAGTGGTATTTGTGGGTATTTATTGCATCGTTAACGTCCCTCACATTCTGGAAACCTGCCTGTGAGGTTTTTGTGACGTGTGCGCACTGTCCGCCTGTCAGCAAAACTTCCACTTGCACAGCTGCGCTCCGCCTGCGCTGACAGTAGACCTGGTTTCAGCTGGCGAGCTTTTAGCGCACCTTCGGCGAAGCCTTTTGGCACGAAACTGTCTCTGCACCAAGCTGGATCTGTCGACACCTCCCCCTGCTGCGCCGCCACACCCATCTCAGTGCACCTCGATCTGCCAAACTACCAAACTGAGCGCGCCTCGGGTTGCTCTGCTTGAAACTAGCTCTGCGCGGGGTTCGCCACCCTGTGCTGCGCTGGGAAACTAGAGGCCATGGAGGTTAAACACCTTGCCATGGTCACACAGTTTGAGGAAAACTCAAGCCTGTTATAACTTATCTTCTTCAAGGTGTTTCGGTGGGACAGAACAACGTTTGAAGTCAATCGGATAAAATCTCTAGGACAAGTTCGTTAATTTACAAGCCCTGGAAACGGGCAAAAATGCACAAAAGTGGCACAAGTAAATTCGAAATTGCGGACTTCCTGTTGGGTTTGGAGCATGGCTCCAAGAGGCTTTTTTGTACATCTTAGAGTGTTACAGATTCCTATTAAGTTTCATACATGCAGGTCAAACAAGCTTCGGGGGCTGCTTCATTGACAATTTCTAGGGGGCACTGTTGAGCCATCTTGACACATCAAAGCACAAAAATCACATCAGACAACAGAATTTGGGAACTCTGATGTGGGTGCCATGCGATGAAAAGTCAAGAGCTTAATTTTTGAGTATCGTCAAGGTCTTAGGTCTTTTTATCAGCAAATTTTAGGTGGAGCTAATTAACCTGTAGTAGAGGGACATAAAAGAATGAACAAAGTAACTTTCTGTTGCCAGTAGGTGGTGCTATGACGGTGATTCAAAATTCCTTTGTAGATGTGTTCAGGGTTGGACTCTCATCACATGTGTGTAATTTTGGAAAGATATGCATATGTGGAGTCAAGTTACAGCAACGTTTATCATCATTGCGAAACATCGAAATTCTTAGGTAGCAAACTAAATAACTTCTCTTCTTTAAGGTCTTGCGGTGGGAGAGACCAAGGTTTGAAGTTTGAAATCGGATGAAATCTCTAGGAGGAATTTAGTTAAAGGGAAATTTCGGTTTATTTCAACCCGTCTCCTATCGTCCTAAATTTGTTTCAAGTCACTAGTGACATAGAAATAATAGGTAGCATGTTAGCCGTTAGCCTAGATACAGCCGTAGCGTCAGACCTGTTAAAACTTAATTGAACGGGCATCCTTTCAAGTGCAAAGTTAGTCCACTAAACAAGCTTTTTCTCCACAAAGAGCGCCTCATATCGTTAGGATAAATGTCAGAGAACATATAGAAAATGACATGTAAACATGTTGTCTTACCTTACCGGTGTGGTGCCATGTTTGTTGTTTACCATTTAGCTAAGGTTGCAACCGGTCCTATTCCTTGCAACAGAGGTATTCCTCTTCTGTGGGCATTGGGGTACAGCATTCACAGGTAACGTTACACCACCGATCTCCAGAGCTAAATCCTTCCAGCAGCCATTCCTCCTCTGTCGTCCTTTAACGTTACCTGTTGTGCCTCTCTCTCTCTCCTCCTCCATTCTTCAGTTTCACGAAGCTCTTCGTCAGTGTATTCTGGCTCAAATAAATAAGGGCGGCCATCGCCTCTCGATGTGGAAAGCCTATATACTAACATTCCACATTTAGGTGGTCTTCAGAGTTGTTGTCTTACCTTACCGTGTGTTTACCGTTTATCTCTGCTTCCCAAAGCACGGCCGAATTATCGCAAGAACAAGCAGCAATCTCATACCGTGTCCGAAATCACGCGAGAACACACCACAGCAGCTGCAAGGCAGAACCGGACAGTAGCCTGAAAGGTTCATTCATTTATTTTATGAAAGATTTATAGAATAATGGCTGACTTTTTGCCAGACTTCGACTTTGTGGAGAAGGAATTTGATTTTGCAGAGTTTGATGGCCGCCCTTATTTATTTGAGCCAGAACACACTGACGAAGAGCTTCGTGAAATTGAAGAACGGAGGAGGAGAGAGAGAGAGGCCAACAGGTAGAGGACGACAGAGGAGGAATGGCTGCTGGAAGGATTTAGCTCTGGAGATCGGTGGTGTAACCTGTGAATGCTGTACCCCAGTGCCCACAGAAGAGGAATACCTCTGTTGCAAGGAATGGGACCAGTTGCAGCCTTAGCTAAATGGTAAACAACAAACATGGCACCACACCAGTAAGGTAAGACAACATGTTTACATGTCGTTTTCTATATGTTCTCTGACATTTATCCTGACGATATGAGGCGGTCTTTGTGGAGAAAAAGCTTGTTTAGTGGACTAACTTTGCACTTGAAAGGATGCCCGTTCAATCAAGTTTTAACAGGTGTGACGCTACGGCTGTATTTAGGTTAACGGCTAACATGCTAACTATTATTTCTATGTCACTAGTCACTTGAAACAAATTTAGGACGATAGGAGACGGGTTGAAATAAACCGAAATTTCCCTTTAATTTAGGCCCCCTAGAAATGGCCAAAAATGCAACAAAACTGCACAGTAAATTCAAAATGGCCGACTTCCTGTTGGGTTTACAGCATGCCTCCAAGAGGCTTTTTTGTACGTCTTGGAGTGTTACAGATGCCTACAAAGTTTCATACACATAGGTTAAAATAGCTTCAGGGGCTGTTCCCT